GGTTGAGGTGATTTTGAACTTTGGTTGGATGCTTGATGTGCTCAATTCATCGACGTGGCGTCAAGGTGGAGCGAGCGACCACGGTGGTGGCGGCGGTGAAGGGGGCGCGCGCCGTGCCGCACCTTGCAGCAGCAAACGGGGTTAGTGGCGTAGGACGACGTGCTCCACCCCACCTCACAATTCGCGAGACGCTCCTCTTCTGCGCCATGCTCCGCCTCCCGACCTCCGCACCCGCCACCACCAAGGCCACCGCCACCGAGGCCATCATCTCCGAGCTCGGCCTCATGTCGTGTGCCAACACCATTGTCGGCAATGTGTTCGTCCGCGGCGTCGCCTCTTCTGCGCCATGCTCCGCCTCCCGGCCGCCGTGCGCTCACACGCCGCCTCCACCGGCCGCCGCTCAGCCCCGCTCGCTGCCGCCTGTTGCTACTCCCCCGCGGCAAAGAGAAGTAAAAAAAAAAGAGAAAAAAAGAAAGGGGAAAGTTGACGTGGCACGCTGACATGTGGGTCCCACACTGACTCAGCCGCCACGTAGACTAAAACCGGGGTCAAAACCACCGAAAGATCTCGGGTGACCGGTTTTATATAGTTAATTAAGGGACCTCGCATATCTGGTTTTACGGTTCAAGGACGGTTTTTATTCCAATGATAAGTTGAGGGACCTTCGGGGTACTTTTTCCATTTTTTGCATGTCTTCAGACTTCAGGCACATTTCTCTTTCTTTTATGGGATTTTTATATAAGTGAATATTAGTAAACCACTCTCTACGACTTGTAAACTACTACCTCTATTTTATATTATAAGCGTTTAAATTTTTTTAAGTAAAACTTCTTTAAGTTTGATTAAGTTTCTAGACAAATATAACAATATTTTAAATACAAAACAAACGTATTATCAAAATATATCAAATATTGGTTTTAATGGAACTAACTTGGTGTAGAGACGTTAATTTTTTCTATAAACTTGGTTACACTTAAACAAGTTTAACTTAAAAAAAGTGAAAACGACTTATATTATGAAGAAAACGACTTATATTATGAAACGAATGGAGTATCGAAAACGCACCACTTTTGAGAAGAACTTTTGTGAGATACTCATCGTTTTGCATTTCACAAATAAATAATGTCTTTTAAGCATTGTCACAAGGCCATACCTAAGAATTTGAGACACCCGGTACAAAATATAAAATGAGACATGCAGTAAGAAAATAACAAGAAACAGAAGTAAATATTATTTTAGGTTGTTATATATATTCACCGTAGTTACACAATAGATCAAGTTAGACTCACCTTTTCATTTAACGCCAGGTCCATGCGCTTTCAACCTCAAGCCCATGCTATGTCCTATTGTGTTCAAGGTTCGCCCTAGCTTATGCCTTATCACCCATTAAATCCTAAAACTTTACGTACAAATATATCGCATCATCATCCACTAATAATTATCATATTTAAATATTATACAATCATGTTATATTATCTATAATTTTATAATTTATTAATTTTAGAGCTTTTAGAATACAAACACATTAAATCATTATGCTACATAATTCAATATATCTCTTCATCATTTTTTATATTATCCTATAGTTCATTATCAGTTAGTTAATGTTATTTATCTCTTATCTCATTAAGTCATATCACCTCAATTATTTTTAACCCTTAAATGATTAATTTATGGTCCAAACATCTCAATTTTTTCTTCTCTCAAAAATGAGTTTTATAGTTAATGTTATAACGAAGTTACCACAATAAACCACGTCATCACTTCTCATTGACACTGATGGAAAAACCATCTTTACTCCCGGTTGGAAACTCCCCTTTAATCCCGGTTTTCCAACCGGGAGTAAAAATCCGGGACTAAAGATGGACATCTTTAGTCCCGGTTGAAATAACTGGGACTAAAGATAAGATGTATCTTTAGTCCCGGTTGGTGTTAACAACTGGGACTAAAGAGACAATAGCGGGCAGTACAGCTGGTCCCTTTTTCTTTTTTCTCCCGAATCAAGTAGGCAAATCCCCAAATCAAACTAACATCCCAAATTCACATCACCAAATCCACATCACAAATCATAAAGTTACTTATACACACAAATCAAATACATCACAATATCCTAAGAAATTACTCAAATACATCACAGATCCAAACAATGAATCACAAAATTACTCAAATACATCACAGATCCAAACAATGAATCACAAATTTGTAACTTCTCAATCAAATACATCTCAGTGAATCATCACAAATTAAAAAAAAAATGCCGCCGCCGCCGCCGGTCGCCACGACCGCCGGGCGCGGCCCCGCCGGCCGCCCGCCGCCGAGCGCGGCCCCGCCAGGTGCCGCCCCGCCACCCGCCATGGCCGCCGCTGCTCGCCGCCGGCCGGCCCGCCGGATGGGAAGGGGAGAAGGGGGAGGAGAGGAGGAAGGGGAGGAGTTGGAGAAGAGGGGATGAGGAAGATAGTTAGAGAGGATGGATCTCAGGAGAGGGGTGAGATTCGATCCGTAACTGTGGATGAGAGGATAAAGGATAGGGATTATATACTACGTGTTTAATTTTAGTCCCGGCTCGTATTTTCTTGATCTTTAGTCCCGGTTGGTATTATCAACCGGGACTAAAGTGGTGATCTTTAGTCCCGGTTATTAACACCAACCGGGACTAAAGATCCTCGGCCCCCTGACATACATCTGACAAGATCTTTAGTCCCGGTTGGTAAAAATTTTATAACCGGAACTAAAAACAATCTTTAGTCCCGGTTCTTTTTGGATCCGGGACTATTGTGGATTTTGCCGGACCGACCAAAGATGGTTTCTCCACCAGTGTGACACCTATAAATGGTGTTTTAGTGGTTCAAATTATGACATACTCCTACTTTTTTAGGCTACATGAGTTTGTTTTTTTCTCTGCTGGATTAGTTGTTTTTCAGTGGTGTGCGACTGTTTTGAAGATTAAAGGTTTAATGAATCTCATTTAGGTGCACGTACGTGTGTCGGATCGGTAGAGGGTGCAATAATGCAGCGAATGAACTTGCTAATTTAGCTAGAAGGCCTAGCCAAAGTGTTGTATGGAGGATGAATATAATAATGCCTCCACTTATGTTTGAACTTACCCTTGAGATTGCAATTCCTCTGATTAATTAATCTCATCTCTCGGTGAGATTTATGTCTCGCTGTGTCATCTGGATAAAGTAAGAGAGAGCAGGTAAATAAACACGCAGGATCATAAGTCAACGTCCAATGCATGCGTGCGACCTGCTGGACATAATAAACTGGTTCTGTCCAGTAATAAAGCATCCACGTTTGCATGTGTAATTAATTACTCTCGCTGCCCCAAAATATAAATATTTTTTAGCATAATAATAAATTAAACATTTTTAACTTTGACTATTAATAAAAAAATAAAAAAGATTAACCATGTAAAATTGATGTTACTAGATTTATTATTAAATAAACTATCATAATATGTAACTCTTTTTATTAAAAAAATCTTACTTTTATAAATATTATTGGTTAAAGTAGTATATCAGATATCGTGTCAGAGTATAAAAATAATTATATTATATTTTTAGGACAGAGAGATTAAGAAAAAAAAATATGGCCTCACTGATCGAAGAGCGGAAGCGATCTCGCAACGATCCGGACAGACCGAGACGGAACCTTCTGACCAACACACCCAGATCCCCTGCGGCCATGCATCCATGTGTCTCCCGGGGGCCCGGGCTTATTTATTTCATACGAGTGAAGTATTGCTACTTGAGAGGATACGATCTTATTAGTAAAAACTATTTGAAATGATTTATTGAAATTAATTAGGCATTAAGTGATATTCAGCTATACGTTTCGCTAGCAGTGTTCAGGGTTTGTACAATATATATGTAGTCTATTTATGTCGTATTTGTTGTCTGAGTGGAAATTAAAGAGAGAATACGAAGGTGAGAAAGGGCTTAAAAAAGAATCTGATTCTGATGATTATTCTCAAAGAAAGAGGATGTGAGTGGAGAAGAAAGAAAATGGAGATAAGGTAGGTGGGCCTTTAAGAGACAACTTAAAAACAATCTTTTGTGGCAATTTATATTCATCAATGTTAACCCTATGAAATCCATACGATGTGAAGAGAGTTGTATCTTGGTCGAACTAAAAGCAATGAAAAAATCTTTTGGTTTGAACCCAACATCAGAGTATAAATTTTTTTAGATAATGGAAACGCTAGACCATATGTACCAACAATATAAATAAATTAGAGCTATTTCAATCGAATGAGTAAAAAGTGAAATAAACGATGATGTAAGATTCCAGATGGAGGTGCTAGCCTTTGGCCGATGGAGAAGAAATTGTTGACGACTACACCCTGTACCTTGCTAGGGGAGGAGTAGCGAATGAGGCCAAATCAAACTCCCAACCACCTACAGAGCCACTGGTCGCATTGTGTTATATTCAAAGCTATTCTCGGTGCTCATGCTTCCACCGTTTTCTTAATTTCGATGTATCGTCCATTCGTCCTACGCGCCTATTGTGCTTAAGAACACGTACTCACTCGTAATATAAAGTTGACTACATGAAACTACCGAGATATAAAACAGGAGAATTGATCAAGTTATTACCTAGGTCCCATATGTACAAAGCAACATCAAGAGGGGAAAAAAGAAGAAGAAGAAAGCAAATAGCTTCCTTATTTGGAGCAAACTCCTATAGCAAATTTGTATAATAATTATGCATTATTCCCTAGGTGATATGCAATCAAATTAAGAACTCATTATTCTCCATCTTCTAAAGGAATAAACAGTAAAATAAGGAAATACTTTATACACCACCAAGGCACCAATACCCAAAATGGCATGGCAACATCTTTCCATCCATCCATAGCAATGAATGAACACAAGAGACACAGGCACAGGTTGTCCCCCAACTGCTCCAGCCCGCAGGAGATCCATCCACCACCCCAGTCGCCGCCGTCAACTCGTCATCATCATCTCCTCTCGATCCCCTCTTCCCTTGGGACTCTCTTCTCTTCTTAACCGACGTGCGCTCGCATGGGCAGTCCTGGTTGCGTCTCCTCCACACGCTAGCGAGTAGCTATACAACGTACCTTTCCCTTCCTCTTGCTCCTCCTCGTCGTCGTCTTGCTCGTCCTGCCTGATCAATCTTTCTCGCTCTTATCTCCTCTCATCTCTCAATCTCTCTCAGATAATTAAACCAAGTGTGCAGATAGATATATAGCTGCTGCTGCATGTGTAGGGATTGCCTCTGACATATTACTATTCCTTGCATGCGAAAGAGAGACTAGCTCTTGTCACTCTCCTCTGCCCTTCTTCCTTCGATTCAAGAAGGCACAGTAGTGTGTATATATATACAGGCATACATACCGTTCTTGCCGCCTCTAGTTTGGGTGTGATTGAATGACAAAGGAGATGGCCGATGATGTCGAGTACCATGAGGTGAGGCACCTGATTCTGTTCATCTCTTCTTCCCCCCGTTTCTCTGACCAGATTTCCTGTATATTACTATGCATGTGCATGCTTGCTTGCTTGCTTGCTTTCTGAATTTCATATGCCGAATGTTGCATGTGCGATGATCGATTCAGTTCTACATGCATGCACAAGTTGATTCATCTTGATCTGTTCATCTTCATGATGCGAGGTTTGATGGGTTTGCGTGTTAATTTGCTTCATATATTCAGGAGTTTGTGACGAATCCGAGGGGGTTGCGGCTCTTCACATGCGGCTGGCTTCCTGCTTCTTCCTCCCCCAAGGCGCTCATCTTCCTTTGCCATGGTAGGTACACACACATATATAATATACCGCTTGAACTCTGATCAAGTTGCTACCAACAATCAAGAAATCGAAGGCCTGATCGATCCATCCATTCGTTTCGATCGCTTACTTCAGTAGCCTAGCTATATTCAGTGATGAAGCCTTTACTGTTCCGTTTCATTCTTTGACGATATCATGTGAGTGATTGTTCTTTTGCTTTCAGGCTACGGCATGGAGGTCAGTGGCTTCATGAAAGGTATACTTCGCCCACTTGCTGTCTGAAAGCTCTGAATTTGTTTATTTTTCTCTGAATTCTTCTTCCGGTCGTCAGGATGAGAAAGCATGCTTTGAAGTGTGTGTCATGCTGCTAGCTAGCGTACTTGGCTGATGTCTGATCTAGAATATTTATTACTTATTATATTATTCCCTGGTTTTTAGGGATATTGGCTTTTTATATAGTAGTACAGTACATATTATCTTGTTCTTGCATCATCCGTGACTTCACATGGATCGAATTTATTCGTCTAGGCCTATTCTACGTACTCATTGATTGTGATCATTAAGAGAGAACATGTAGATAGCATGGGAGACAAAGCACTGGTCCTAATCTTTTTTTTCTTTCTGGTACCAAGAGCATTCTCCTGAATTTCTGCCGTATTGGCCCAACTGATATATGATCTATCTCCTTCACTGTAGTCACCGTTCATGAATGGAAAAATAGCCGTGCTATTCGTAGTAACAAACTCTTACAAAAATAGGAGATGTCCGCTAGTGTCCGCTCTGATACCATATCAATTTAGGAGGAAATTTAGCCCGGCGAAAAATTGAGGAAATTTATGGTGACCCTCGGTAAATGCACATGAAATACTTGTGGACCTAATTCAAACATTTTTTTTATGTCATGAAGTTACCTATAAGATAGGAACAATACAAGACCAAATGGCACAGTTGAATAAAAACAATAAAATTCACGATAACATATATTTTTTAGATAATGTAATTAAATTATCCTAGCCTCTGCAAAGTGTGATGCATGCAGCCGGTTAACGGTTACTATTAAACCCCGTAGGTGACAATCAATTTGTGGTGGTTGTTGTTGTGGCTATCGTCAATGATAGTGGGGTCGGCGTTTTTTTGTGTTCTTGACTAGGAAACTTTGCAAGTTGTATTAAAGCTGCCGTGTAGGGGGGATATGAATTCTGATAGGGAGCTGGAATGATTATAAAAATTCTGGTGATAGATACACTGCCTTAATGGACTTTAATTTAGTTCCCATGGCTTTACAATATATAGCTGAAGCAATGAAATGGTTTTGATCTGTGAACTGCTCATCTGAACAATTCAATGCCACTTATCCATCAATAACTTGTCACACATGCACAACATCATCTGCATAAACTTTGATGAGAAAAAAAAAAGAACACATTATCTAACTAGAGATAAGAACTGTTACTGTGCCTCTTCTAATATTTTCATATGTTTTTCAGTTGTTAGTCATGATTGTAGGGTAGTTTTAGTCATTCAGATTCAAAGCAATAATTATTCCCAAAATGAGATGTTCAGTTCAGAGTTTAGGTTCTCTGTCCCTTGTTTTTTTCCCTCTTTGTTTCCTCTTCATGGAAGTTACGTTGGGATTTCATAATCTTTGCTTGACCTATTCCAGAGTTTACCTGCTCTGTTTCTCGCTTTGAGGCTAACACTTCTGCTAAGGGTCGTTAAATATAATTAAGGTGGTGGTTAGCAACACTCCTTTCACTTGAGGTGATATATATGGGCTTCTTTTTGTTTGGCTGCAAGCTAAAGATGCTTTTGAAAAAGAAGCCAGAGATAGCAACACACTACTTGAGTTCATCAATTTGGATACTTTTGTTTTACGATTTTAGCCTACCGGAACAATGAAAGCGATGACAATTAATATGAAATAACGTCAAGGATTAATAAGAAGTTGTGTTTGCCTTAATCAGAAGTTTACTGGTATCATTGGTTCTACCATTTTGGTCTAGAGAGATCTATTAAATATGACCTGAAGTAAAGAGCAAAATGAGAATAGATAGTCAAAGAGTTATTTTGGTTTGGAAGAGTTTCCATCGTTTGCTGCATAAACTGTGGAATTTCTATTTCATATGGCCCCAAAACTTTTTTTTTCGCTGTGACCGGCTTAAGATTTTTCTGTTACGAATTTATCCATGTTCAGAAAGTACAAAAGCTTCATATTAGCACATGTTCAGTTGATTGCACACTAATCAGTGTAGAGTGTACAGGATAAGGCTTGGATACTTTTCAAAAACTCATTGATAATAATTTGACCTGATACCCAACTCTTCTGCCATAAATTTCTAAAAAAGCAAGTCACTTTCATACTGAAAACAAAACAGCAATCTTGACTACCCAGCTACCATCCAACAACCCTAATTTCCGTGACCACTTCTGCAAACAGCCATTTGATTTGTTTAGGAATACTGTCGTGGTTCTTTCTCTCTTATGTCAACTTCAGCATTTCAAATCCCAGTGATCGAACTATTGCATTAACAGTTGTTAGAAAGATACATCACGTTAGTTAAATGAAGGTTTCTCGCATTTGATTACAGAAAAGGCACCTGCCTGTTGACTGCTGTGCCTATATTTTCTAAAAAAAAAAAACTGTTGTGTCTATGCACCATGCACAGTGCCTGAATTTTGTGGTCCTGCATGTACACATCTTCAGAAACTGTCCCAGGGTTAAGAGCCATCATCATTCTGGAGCTGAATGTCCTGTTCAAATACTCCCAAGCCACCTAGAAATATAAACACTTCCGGACTTTAACACGATCTTCAATATGCTACTTTGACTAATAACATTTATATAAATAAATAATTTTAAATAAAAAGAGTTGCATATCATGTTGGTTTGTTTAACGGTAAATCTAATAACATTATTCTTACGTCATCAATATTTATGATTGTTTTTATTGACGCTTCCTAAAACTAAGGTATTTCTGCCAAATGTAATACTTCATAATACCTCCTAGTAGGGCATGAGCGATGTTTATACCACAAGTTAGCAATAGTGTGGATCCGGTGATCAGGTGACAATAGCTATAACCGAAGTCCACAATGTATAAACCTAAGGTAGAGAGTATAAGGTGGGCCCATGCATAGAAAACATAGATGTGAACCTCTGTGACCAAACAATACAACTATTTTTTTTATTTGCTTCTTGCCGGCAATAGGGCAATGACCCGGTAGCAGTTGTTATCAGTTTCCACAATGTATATGACCTGGTTCGAAAGTTGCATTTAATGCATATTACCTGTTTTTCTTCCACACTGTGGATGCCCTAATCTAGGCTGGCCTAGCCTTGCTGCCGCAGCGGCTGCAGTCATGAATGGCTACGGCTGGCAGCCGGTTTGAACTGCTGCAGCAGCAGCTAGCGTGTCCGAATAGAGCCATTCAGTGAGTCAGTGCCATGTGCTCAAACTGTTTCTCTTTTTTCGCTGTCTACGGCCGTGTTTAGTTGTTTAGGTGTAAAAATTTTGAAGTATACGGATACATATTTGAAGTATTAAATGTAGTTTAATAACAAAACAAATTACAGATTCCGCCTGTAAATTGCGAGACGAATCTATTAAGCCTAATTAATCAGTCATTAGTAAATGTTTACTGTAGCACCACATTGCCAAATCATGGTGTAATTAGGCTCAAAAGATTCATCTCGCAATTTACATGCAAAGTGTGTAATTGGTTTTTTTTCGTCCATATTTAATGTTCCACGCATGTATCTAAATATTTAATGTGACGGAATTTTTAGAAGTTTGAATGTAACTAAACACAGCCTACGCCGAAAAATGTTGGGATAGCTAGCAAGGGTTTCAGATACTGTTGTCAACGATGATGGTAACTGTGTTCAACTAGTGTTTGCAAACTTGCAAACATGTAATGGGCCTAATTTTCAAAGCCACTTTTAGCTCGTGAGAATTATTTTTGGGCTGGCAAAAAAAAATCGCTGGGCCATGAGAATTATTTATCAGCTGGTTAATTAATTAATTACTGTCACATGGGAAAGCAATCAATCAGAGAGCATGATGCTGTGTTCTAATGGTGGGGGACATTGTGATACTGGCAGCATGTGGGGTCGAGCTGGCCACGGCGGGTTACGGCGTGTTCGGCATCGATTATGAGGGGCATGGCAAGTCCATGGGTGCCAGATGCTACATCCAGAAGTTCGAGCATCTTGTCGATGACTGCGACAGATTCTTCAAATCAATATGTGGTAAAGAAAAAAAAAACCTCTTCTGATCTTCATCTGTTTCTACTCCATTTTGCCTCTGAACTTTTACCATCACAAGTAAATTACCAGTAGTCACTGGAAAGAGCAGATGGTGCTGTGTTTCAATTCAGAGTTTCAAATGTTTTCAAGAATGACATGTAAAAAAAAAAAAGGTGTTTCCAAGAATGAAGTTTCAGTGTATCATATTGAAATCTAGTATAGCAAAATGTTTTAGTTTTGTTCTAAGTCAAACTTCCATAACTTGAGTCTTTGACCAAATTATAGAAAAAAGAATACATATATCAAAATCTATAACAAACTTTCTGATGGTCTTTAGGGTGGCACTACATTTATTAAGTGTCATATCAAAATGTACTCCCTCCGTTCCTTTTTACTTCTACTTGATACTGTTAAACCGGTGTGCTTTTACCTTTGACCGGTATAAAAACTTCCAAATTAGATGTCAATTAGATTATCAAATATACTTTTTTCAGAGCTGGAGGAGTACAGAGACAAGAGCCGGTTCCTGTACGGGGAGTCGATGGGCGGCGCGGTTGCGCTGCTGCTGCACCGCAAGGACCCAACCTTCTGGGACGGCGCCGTCCTCGTCGCGCCGATGTGCAAGGTTTCACATGGATTCTCTCTCTCTGTTTCTGTTCTGCATTTCTGTTCTTGCTGAATTTCAGGGCTTGGCACTTGGCAGCAATCTGATGGCATATATGGTATGGCTAAATTTGATTGATCGTGTTTCAGATATCGGAGAAGGTGAAGCCGCATCCGTTGGTGGTGACGCTCCTGACGCAGGTGGAGGAGATCATCCCCAAGTGGAAGATCGTCCCCACCAAGGACGTCATCGACTCTGCCTTCAAAGACCCCATCAAGCGCGAAAAGGTTCAAACGTTTGAGCAATTCACCAATTTGTATTGTCAGAATGCAAGATTCAGACCTAATCATGCTGCGAGATCTTGTGTGTTTTGAGCAAAGAATGTAGGAAAAAGAGAGAGAGAGAGAGAGAGAGATTCTGTTTTCTGAAACTGTTTTCTTGTGAACAATTGAGCAGATCAGGAAGAACAAGCTGATCTACCAGGACAAGCCCAGGCTGAAGACGGCGCTGGAGCTGCTGCGAACCAGCATCAGCGTCGAGCAAAGCTTGTCACAGGTGAAAAAAAACCCTGACTGATCCATCTGACAAGATTATCATCTGCCATGAATTGATGCATCAGCTCTGTCGAGTGCCAGTGACTGAACTCTGAACATATGTAGAGTGTGAGTTTCTGAACATTGTGGTTTTTCGTGGTGGGTGGCAGGTGAGCATGCCGTTCTTCATCCTGCACGGCGAGGCCGACAAGGTGACGGACCCGGAGGTGAGCCGTGCGCTGTACGAGCGCGCCGCCAGCGCCGACAAGACCATCAAGCTCTACCCGGGGATGTGGCACGGCCTCACCGCCGGCGAGCCGGACCACAACGTCCACCTCGTCTTCTCCGACATCGTCGCCTGGCTCGACCGCCGCAGCCACCGCCAGGACAGGGCGAGCATTACCCCGCCGGCGGCCTGCACCGACAGCGCCGCCGCCGCTGCGGCGGACAGCCCAGTGTCGCCTGAGCCGCCGCGGCAAGGCGCCGCCGGCGGCTTCCTCTGCGGCCTAACCGGCCGAGCAAATCCCCAGCAATGTAGGATGTAAAATATAGAAAGAGGGGAAAAAAAAAGAACTCCCTTGATATACAAAATGAAAGGAATGCAGATGTTGTGATGCAAACAGTGTCATGAACAAGTTCAGAGAAATTTTTAGTTTCATCAGAACAGTTTCTGTTTGTTTCAGTTTGAACATGCACCAGCTGCCTGCCTAGAGCGAGCAGCCTGGCAAAATACAAATTTCTGAGAGAACATGTAATTTATACCATATAATGCTATCATCTCAACAAAGAATCAGAAGATCCACAACTTTTATGTCCAACTGAAGTTTCGTATAGATGAGAGAGACTGAGAGGAGGAAGAAAAAATTACAAGAAAAAAGAATGACATCACAGGCAGCAGCAGCAGCATCATCAACCAAGGTATTTTTAGTAACAAACAGCTCCAGAGGAACTAACTATGAGGCCATGCCTTTTGTCAGTAAGGAGCTTAACCAAGCAGCTAGAAAGCAGGCCATCAAAATTTCCAGAGTCTTATGCCTCCTCCTCCTTCTACCCTTGTTGGCCTCCGGTGGTTGTGGCGGTGCTGTCTTGGTCACCGAAAATGCGCTTGCGGAAGTCGGTGACCATGAGGGGAAGACCCTTGTGGAGAGGGATCTTTGGCTCCCACCCAAGGAGCTCCTTGGCACGGCCGATGTCAGGCTTGCGCTTGTGCGGGTCGTCCTGGGTGTTGGGACGGAACTCGATCTTTGCGTTAGGGTCGATGGTGTCCTGGACAACCTTGGCCAGCTCCAGCATGGTGAACTCACCAGGGTTACCCAGGTTGAATGGCCCTACGTGCTCACCTTCCATGAGCCTCATCAATCCCTCAACCTGGGAGGAGACCAAAATCAGTACAAGAAATGCAGTGCTGTGCGACATTCCACAACTAGACAAGTAGGAGGATAAACCTCAGATCATAACTATTTCTGTTGACATTGTCATTAGTATTACTGTCTTCCCAAGTGCTTATTAGATTTCAGATATGCTTAGTGCAGTAGAGAGAAAAACTCACCAGATCAGAGACATATTGGAAACTCCTGGTCTGCTTGCCATCACCGTAAACCGTCAAAGGCTCCTTCCTCAAAGCCTGTAACCATAATTGCAGATAGACCAATTCAGTTTAAACTGAACAATGATTTGCATCCTTCTGAAAAAAATTAGGACAGTTAAAGAGTGAATTATACCTGAGCAACAAAGTTGCTGACAACACGGCCATCATCGATGCACATGCGAGGGCCATATGTGTTGAAGATACGAGCGATCCTAACCTGAACACAGAAAAAACCAACAGCAGAAATTAACATTTACTTTCAGATGAACGAACAGAACGTAAAGTCATTTTGCAAAGAGAGAGACTGCATTATACCTCAAGGTTGGCACCACGGTGATAGTCCATGGTCAAAGTTTCAGCTGTGCGCTTGCCCTCATCGTAACAACTCCTCACACCTGTTATTCCGAGAAACACATGCATCAGTAAAACCAAACCTTACCATGTTAAGAATAAATTAAACAGTAGTAGAGGGAAAAAAAAACATGGGACAAAGTGTTAGCTGTAACTATCTGGCTCAACAAACTTCCCTCCTTTTCTGCTCTGTTCTTTTGATTATTTTAGATGTCTCAGTTGGTGGGTGTTTGGTTAAGCATAATTGGTCAAGCGTAGTGTTGTTCCCCTGTTCCTTTATTAAAAAGAGAACCACCAAGTGGCCCTCTCGGAGCAAATTCCACCAACCAGCTTTGTCCCTTTCCACCAAAGAGAATCAAAGCATGCAAGAGCCCACCCATCTAAGATTCCGTGGCCAGCATCTCCAGCGGGCAAGATCCCAATATCGGTTTCCTCCACTTACCTAAACCATGCCTCTTTCATACAACAGTATGCTTCAATTCAAGAATATGTCCATTTTAGATGGGCAATTCCTTCTTCTACCACTTTATACTACCGGTGCCGAATAATAAATTTGGGTAACCTCTAATGGCCAAATCTAAGAGTGTATGTTCAATCAATGTACTCTCAATGATGTGCAAAACATGGCATTGATGAATGTAGGATATGTATGGTGAGAAACAGCACTAGTATGGTAGGCAACAGTTTGCTATAAGCGACGATCGGACAGCTCCAATAATACCCGTGGTCCAACTTGGATAGTTCTTTGATCTCAACTAACAATAAGCTACCGAAACATGCTAGACCCAAGAAACATAACAAATTGATCTGATGGAGTATGAGAGTAGTTTATTACCAATGGGGTTGACATTGCCCCAGTAAGTCTCCACTTGAGGATGCTGCAGGGGATCACCGTAGACCTCACTGGTGCTGGTGAGGAGGAACCTGGCATTGATCCTCTTCGCCAATCCGAGCATGTTGAGAGTCCCAACCACATTGGTCTTGTGCCATCTCAAAGGTTAAGGCTTTACACAGTTCAACATAGACCATTTTCCAAAGACAATACAGGTACTAACGATGATAATGAAAGAACAAAGGTCAGGCTCCGTTTTCATGTGTCTCCCATGTTTCCATTTGGTTGTTAGGCTAAATCTCCACTACACTAGTAGTTGCAAAAGCAGGCAACAAAAAAAGAGATCATGTGAAGTGAACAGTAAGCAAAGTTGGTTAGAAAGAAAAGGGGACAGCAGAGGCGACTTGGACCTTGCTTTTTCGGCTAATCAAACCCACAACTTTATGTCAGATTTAAGCAACACTCACTCGACAGCTCAGCTAGATCCAAGCAGAACGCGCGTTTCCTTTGGCTTGCTTCCCCCGTTAGGAGATCATCAAGCAAAGTAAACTGTACGTAACTCGATTGGTCAATGCTTGATCACAATATGCTCTTCTATCAAAAGGACTCATTCTGAAAAATTCTTAATCGCAATAGTACTACCGCTTTTATGCTCTTCTATCAAAAGGACTCTAAATTGAACTTAACATTATAAAAAAATGTATGTTTTTTTTTAAATTCTAAAAGAGTAAGACGGTGCAAAGACTCGAGATCTTCCATTTGAAACGACGCAAAAAAAGATTGATCGAATTTGATCAAGATGCCGCACCCGAAGCAGCCAAACTCTGCTTTAAACAGCGGAATGCGGGACACATGTGAATCTCTGTGTTCAGGATGAGGCCACGGCAGAAACCTCCAAAAATTCACGGCGCAACGTGGCGCAAATCCCGAGCTCCATGCATCCAAATTCCCCTTCCCCGCCCCCAGATTCCCAATCCCCGGACGAACCCTGAATCCGGGGGGGACAGATTCAATGTTTTCACCCAGATGCAGGATATCTGACAAAGCCAACTACTACATGCACAAAACAACAAATCAAATCCAATCCTAACACAAATCATTTCCCACCCCCAAAAAAAACAAAACAAAACGCATGAAAAAAAAAAATAAAATCGAGCACCCAAAAAAATCAAGATCCAAGCACGAAACAAATTCAGAGACGCATATGATCGAAGAAGAAAAAAGGATATGATTGTCTTGACGGGGTTGTACTTGTAGTGAACGGGGGAAGCGGGGCAGGCGAGGTGGTAGATCTGGTCGACCTCGAGGAGGATGGGCTCGACGACGTCGTGGCGGATCATCTCGAAGTTTGGGTTGCCGAAGTGGTGCACCACGTTCTCCTTCCGCCCCGTGAACAGGTTGTCCACCACGATCACGCTGTCGCCGCGCTCCACCAGCCGGTCCACCAGGTGGCTCCCCACGAACCCGGCGCCGCCGGTCACCAGCACCCGGAGCCCCTTCCGCTTCAGCCCCAGCGGCACCTTCCCGCCCACGAACTGCCTCGCCGGCAGCTGCTGCTGCCGCCGGCTCACCGCCGGCTCCACCGAGAACCGCGCCAGCGGGTTCGCCGCGGTTGAACCGGCGGCCGCGGCGGCGGGGGTGGAGGAGGAGTACGGGGTGGCGAGGGAGAAGATGGCAGCGGCGACGAGCATCCCGGCGAGGGCGAAGAGCGGGCGGTGCTCGCCGGCGGCGTACCGGGCGGCGCGGGGGAGCCACGCGAGCGGCTTGGACGGCTTCGGGGAGTACCCCCCCGCCGCTACCGCCGCCTCCGCCTCGCCGGCCAGCGTCGCGCCGCCGCCGCCGCGGTAGGTCAGCTCCGACGCCATCTTTTTTTCTTTTTCTTTTTCCCTCACGACGACGGCGAGGGACCTGGATGTAAAATTTCCACAAACCCCCCAAGGCCCTCCCCGCAAATAAAAATTTCCCCGGGGACCTGGATGCAAAATGCGGGCAGGTGGGGAGGGAGAAGGGGGCGCGGGGGTGGCGAGAGGAGGGGGAGGAGGGGGGTATTTATTGGGGGAGAAGCGAAGGCGCGGGGGCGGTGTGAGCCGTCGGATTGGGGATGGACGGCTGGGATGAGGTCTCGGTGTTTGACTTGTGGTGTGTGATCGGGTGCGGCCGCCGTGTGGTGTGGACCTCTCAACCGGTTTTAGGACTTGACAGTGTGAGGGGTCTTTGTACTACTAGTAGTACTAAGTTTGGAAGCTAAGCTGCAATAATCACAAATTTTTGTGATTTGATTTAGAGTAGATAGCATAATCTAGTGGGGTATTAAGGGACATCTAAAAATGATAGGAATAAAAATGCTAATGTTGAGATGGTGTTCGAATACAATTTTCGAAGATTGATTTACTTTTTTTTTATTTTAGTATATGTCCATATGAAATCCAATAAGATTGTACTTCCTCCGTCTATAATATAAGGGATTGTGGAAGGATGTGACACATCCTAGGATTTTGGAGGGATTGTTAGATTTTTCAATGGAAATCTACAAAGAAATCCAGATGTTTCAAAATATAATCAAGTTTAGATAAGTAGCTAGAAATGCCTATATTTTAAAATAGGGTGTGGGTGATTTTTCATGTCAAAGATAACGATACTCATTTTGAAGGGGGGAAATTACTTCATGTACAGCCAGAACGTTTTAATTAATGATATAAAAAGAACGTTTTAATTAATGGCCAAAGGATCTTCTAAAAAGACAATTAATGGCCAAAGAGTGTACTCCAAGTTTATGTCACCATATTAACTATATGATTTTCTACTACACTTTGGAGCATGTTGTTATTGCTAATTATAGACCAGTCCTACTACAACTGGAGACTAATCTAATAACTGCATAAATAGTACTCCTACTACAAACTTTAGCAAGAATTAACTCATGACATAGCAAGATATAAGGATAGATCCAACGGCTGCTGCGGTTACTGCCATTGCCAATGCGAAGTTACCGTAACTCGACTAGTTAGTTATGTTTCTT